GCTTTGGTTTGACAACTATTTTTCCCCACAAGAGGATCATATTACAAAGCGATTAAAACAAATTTCACGCTATTGCCCTGATTTAAACTTATTCACTTTTTTCATGTCTCGTCTACCGGGTTAAAATAAAAATGTTTTAACTGGAGTGACTAAGATTTATTTGAACTTTGCTTTCTTTTAAAAAGAATTGGTGTTATAATTTATATTATTCATTTAGAAAAATAATTTTACGCACTGTACATATCGCCTTGCGATTCATAATTTTGTAGAAAAAAAATACATGTAACTTATTAAAAAGTTAATATTAGTAGCCTGATGTAAATGTATTTTTTATATGCTAAATTTCATATTGCAAATAAAAATAAAAGTAACTTAAACATGATCCAAAATCATCACGTATTTACATTATAAATAATTTTGTAAATTTTTACAAAAAAAGTGTTTGTATTAAATTGTTGTTATTTCTCTGATATTAATAAAGTTGCTATTCAATTTTTATGACGATTACACATTTTAATCAATAAAAAATATCAAATACATACTTTTAAATGGTTTTCAAACTTCATTTCATAATGCAGAAGTCAATTAAAATTTACAGTTATCAACAAATATATGTAATTATATATAAATTTTGAAATATACAAAATCAACTTGTTAATACTATTATTGAAGTAAAAGACTACAACCGAACCGCAAGAAATTAATAACGGTGAATTACTATTAATTTATAAAATTTTATGATTACTTAATTTATGCTCGAGTAAGTTCAATCGTATTCGATATAAACATATTCCGATCCGTACCTTAGCATTGGGTATTTTACATGAATCACGTTACCACAGTGTGACTTTTCTTATATCAATAGAAATCGATTTACAATACACAAAATTATACAGTGTAATAATAATAGCTTAGTAGTTAAACGATATTTTGTTACAAAATTTACAAAAACAATTATCAATTGTAAGTATCATTATGCTAGTTAATTTTATAAAAAAATTAATCTGAACAAATTTACAATGTACATAAAGTAGGAGTGCCATTAAACACAGTACCGCACCTTATCCAAATTTCAGACCCTAACTTTCTGCAAAACAACGCAGTTATGGCCGCCCGTTAACAGCGGTCCCACTTAAGCTGGCAGTGGTGCCGTCGGACAGAGACCTTTTTCGAAGTTTTGAACATGGTGAAGACGTTCTTATCTGTATATGACAAACTGCACTAGCATTTTCTTCTACTTCAATGTCGTGAATGTTTTGCTTCTTTGCAGGCGCAACAGTCTCGTGCAACGGCGAATTTTTCCTCTTGAGATTATTAGGTTCTTGTTTCGTCGAAGCAACCGACGATCGCGTTTTTCTTGGTTGGTGGTCGAGAGTTGCCTGCATCCTCTCGAGAGCCGCACGCAAAGGCAGCAAGCCTACTGCGAAAGGTATCTCAGCGCTTTGTGAGTATTCGAGAAACTCCTCGTTCACCTCGCCGTCCTCAGTCATGTCCGACATGTCACCCCATAGAGCTCGATTCACCGACGACGCTCTAATATTTGATTTGACGGGAACATCGTTCAGATGCTGATTATCTCCAGCTACGGTCTCAGTCGCTTCTGGTCTTTCATGCACGCTGACGGAGTTTGTTAATTTTTCTACCGTCTTTGGCTTATCACTACTCTTGGCCAGGTGATTCTTAGGTGTACATCGGTCAACGAGTTTAGACGTTCTACGCAGCGGTCGCGAGTGACTCTTACTCGTAGATTGTGTTGCTGTCACGATCACTTTTACATTAGGAACTCTACGTTCTAATTCTTTATTCTTGCGTTTTGTACGTGAAAATAATTTTATATTGTCTGGGGAGCTTTTTTTCCCGTCCTTGAGTTTCGACTTTACCTTAACTAAGGTTTCTTCGCTCTCCTGCTGATTGAGACGAACGCTTCTCCTTAGCACAGGAGTCCTATCTTCTTCTCTTCCTACTTTAACGCTATTTTTCTCATCCACGCTATGCGTTCGCGCATTTATCAGTTCCAACCTACCAGAGGGACAAAAATCGCTTAATGAACAGCCAACGATGGACTGTATGCTCTCGTTATTGAAACTCAACAGATAATCTGAACTCTCACCGTCCAAATTTGTTTTAAGAGTTACGGGCGCTTCTTCATTCGATGAGTCGTCCGTCAAATCGATGGAATTTGAGACAAGAGGCTGGGGCAATGTTTTATCGAGGTGCGTGTGCCTTTTTAACGTATTATCGCCATTGGCTTTGCGTTTTTTGTGTGTGTAAACCTTTGAACATTGGCCCACCCGGTTGATCTCGTTGTCGGTCGACTCGGGCGTCAAGTACAGCTGTGAACTTCCCTCACCTTTGGCACAGCCATTACTCACAAATTCATAGCAACGCTTGTACAACCTCGTCGACTCCGAATCTTTTTCACAATTTTCAGAGTCCAGAGTTGATGACGAATCGCTCAGTAATTCTACAGAATTTTCCCCGTCATTTTTTCTCAATGGACCATCTTTACTTTCACTGTTTCTAAGCAACGTAGAATACATTTTGCTTTTTGGGATACCACAGGGATCCTCATACAGGGAGCGATCGTTTGGACTATCGGACAAAGTTTCAGAAATATTTTCCTCGATGTAATTTCTTTCTGACTCTGAGTCACTACTATTCGTTTCGCGGTAGTTAGATTGGCAATTTTTTTTGTTTGTGAAACTCACTCGGATGCCGTTGTCTTCATTATTTATCACACCATTGGCGCGCCCGCTGCTTCCAACGTCATTTGGCAAGTACTCTCCTTCGTTACAATTGGAACTTTGCGTTATAGAGCCAACCATATTTTCCACAAGAGACTCTAACTCTTTAACCTGAAAAGCGGATATGAAATAATTATTAACAATTGCTTCATTATTGTGAAAATGAAAGCTTAAAATTTGTTACTCACCTTAAATAATCTAGCTGCAGCTAGTAACGATGGTAAGTAAACATGAGATACTGTTGTTTCACCACAGTACATAAATTCAATCATGGCTTTTAATATACTAAAATTTAAGTCTCTAAGTAGTATAATTGGTTCAGGTCCAAGGTCTTCTGCTAAGATTTCCTGAAAAAAAGGAAAGTCTACTTGTAACATGTATGCCATACAATTATGGAGAGTATTACTGTATGGTTGGAGTTTTCATTTTTATGAAACAACATCTTATTAGAAAGGAATTACGTAATTTGTCGTAAAATCTACCTGACAAACTAAATAAATAATAGTTTGAATGATTGAACGGGCCAACTTAGATACTGGGCTTATGTATGGATACATATACATAAAAAAAGGTACATACCTCAAAATAAAGACTGCAAGAAGCTAATACTAGTTTGTGAACTCTTAACTTTTGTTCATCACATATGAGAGTAACATCGACTAGTGTCTGTCGAGCTAATAATCCACTAAATCTCTCAGTAACATATGCTGCATGGCCAGGCCATTGCAGCACGTATTCCCTGCCGCTTTCCACCATGATCAGCAACAGATTGAACTGCAAAAGATGAAAATAAATTGTTGTATTTATGAGGTGAATAACAATAATAAATTTGATATAAGTAACTGGCGAATGATGTTAAGAGTGAACATATACATCAGATTCCCTTATAGATTAGCCACAAACTTTTTTTTCAATAGAGATATTTATGTGGCTAGTATATGTATTNTTGATGGCATAAGTAATCTTTTCTATCCCGAAAATTCGTATGCTGTAAATATTTCTATTTAAAAACAAACGATACTTTGTCACGGCTCATACCTCCATGAAACATCCTAATAGCCAATTAGAATTTTAGTTCCGATAAAAAGGGAAAAGAAAAAAAAAATCAAAACGATAATCCCACTCTTGAACATCGTCAAATAAACATCAGATACCATTAGCATCGAAATAAATATCTTTCTGTTTTAGGCCTACATTAGAATAGGTTCGAGCAGATGTGGCGGAACGCTCGTTAATCGCTTTCACGTTGTCACGGCTGGCCACTGTGTAGCCAAGTAAGTTGGATGTAATAACTCACGCTTCCCCCCTCCCTCTGCCGTGTACAGTAGCTGAATGAATCTCAATCGAAACTTAATGATCGTCCGATCGTTTTCTCTTTTTTTTTTTTTTTTTTTTTTTTTTTCACGCTCGAATACTTCAAACTTCAATGTGGACAAAATTATTGAGATATTTCTTATACATTACTGTTTATAACTTGGTCGCTAAGCTTAGTGCTTGAATCTATTTATATAATACTTTTTTTTATTTTGGGTTAGGTGAGCTAAATCTACAATTTGAAATCCTTGAAATGCTAAGACTACAATGTTGCAGCTGTGTAAAATGACAAAATAATGAGTAGTCAAGTATGTATCTTTATCTTGGATAAAAAAATTTGAAAAATAAAAAAAACGTTAGTTGCAGCTTTATCTCTTAATACTTGATTCAATTTGTTGATAATTGCAGAATAAAAGATGTTTTTAGCAAACACTTAGTTGAGATATCTTAAACATCTGTTGAAAGTTGCTGCCAATCCCAAATCCCTTGTCTAAAGTGTAACCAAGGGCCAGCTGTCATTACCTTCTTGTAATTATGTAAAACTCAACAACAAGAACTTTCACCTTATTAAGGAAGTCAGAGGCACTTTCTAGACTGGCTCCCAGCTCCCAGTGTCCCAGTGCTATCTCAGTTATGCAAAAAGCCTACCACCTATACGATTGAAGATTGGAAACGAAAAGAAAATGAAAAATTCCACACTGGCTCTCCTTTCTCCTTGCCCCTGAAGGCTGTGTGTGTTTGCTAGTCATGTCTTTAAACAGGAGAGCTTTGTTGTAGCGATGATGAAGACGTAGTTGCACTAGGTGGTGAAAAGGAATCTTGATAATAGGGGAATGCAAGAACATCGAAGGCAAAAGATAATAATAATGATAATAAAAATAATATTGTAGGTACCTACTCACTGAGTTATCCTAGAATCAAGCGTTCGTCAGAGGCGGGCCTCCTCCAGGACGATGCTGTTGGCTGGGACCGTCCGTGGCTGCTGCAGTACTGCCGAACGAGCAAAAAGCGACGGGGAGGATGTTGAGGAGGTGAAGAAAGAAGAATCCGGGCACTGGGAGCAGCTCGTCCTGACGAAGAGAAGGGGCATGAAAGCACGGGCCACCGGTTGGCTATTCTCAGCTACTGGCGAGCGCCTCGAACGACGTCGTCTCCTTAAGAACATGGAGAGAGCGAAGCTCCAGGTGCTGCTCTGCTATAGCCTCCTTTTGCAATGCCGTTGCTGTCGCTGCGCGTCTCACAGATGCTGCTATTACAGCTAGCTATAGCTGTTAGCTGGTAGGTATATGTCACAGATCCAATTCTTCTTGATTCTTTGCTCTTTTGCGATTGCTGTTGTACAAAATGTATAGGTATTAAGCAGGTACTGCTTCTGCACTATCTGCAATATCTGCACCGATGATGCTCCAAAAAGTATAAATATGTGGGTGAGCGCTGTCGTACAGTGTGCGTGTATGCGCTCGCATGTTAACATTTCGCACCAGTGTGTCTGTTTACTCGACTATATATATGACTACAGTCCAAAGAAAACCAAACTTGACTGTGTCAGCTTACAGTCACTAAATTGCAGCGTAATTCAAATCTCAAGTTAATTAATATATAAAACTCTATCACCCTATACTTATCTTAAGCTCTCAAGCAACTATATAATATCTAAGACCATTCAATAACCCTGTAATCACTGAGCAACCCTGTAATGCAATCCAGAAAGCTTTTAACCTGGGGGGGGGGGGCAATAAGTTTAAAATTTTCGGGTGGCGTGTCCCGATGGTACTTCTCTTCCCGCTGTCGCCTGTCCGTCCAACTCCCGTTAGAAGGAAGTTGCGGAGGTGGGGAAAGTCACTCATCATCTTCACGGAGTTGAAATTCGGCCATATTTCGGAGCATAAGTGCGATTCGTGCCTCGATTCTCACGAGAAAGATGAGTATTGAGTGTATACACTTGATATATTATAATGTCCATGTAGTACACAAAATGAACCCATTCGATATCGACAACTGCATTTTGTCAGTTATATATTTGATTTTTTTTTTTTTTTTTTTCAAGGTTTTTTCGAAGAGGTCAGATTTTCAATAATGTTTTTAATGCAGAAAAATCAGAAATATCCTATTGCTAAAATATTATAAGTCTTTGATTCCACGAAAAATTATTCATCTTTACTTCGATATGAAAATTATGCCTATTTTAATTATTGGATTTATATGTTTCTTTATGTGCATGTTGTGTGTATTATGTTGTACGTATTACCTGTATAGGTAAAAAAATATAGATAAAAATGAGTCGATAAACGAGAAAACTGATGTACCGTAACTAGGTAAAGGTAGGTAGTTTACCTACCGATCTTGTTGTAATATCATGTACAGGTTTCCTTGTTATCGAAAAAAAGCTCCGTAGGGTGTGAGTGTCAAATGTTAACAGCGGCAGGAGTTTTAAATTTCCAAAACTAACGTAAAATCTGTTTTATTTATAAAAAATGTCATACAGAGTTTTACATAAACAATACAATTAAATCGTCGATTGTCATATTACACAAACTTAAAGCTACCACGCGTGTCTTATGTGACTTTATTTTCAATTTTATATGTGTAAAAGTATAATAACGTTGGAAAGAGACGAAAAAAATGTATGGAGAGGAGTTATACTAAGATGTGTGGCCGATAAAATATTATTTACCGATCAATTTCATCATAGCTGGGTCTAAAGCTTCTAAAGTTCTCGCTGTACCACGAGGGATGAAAAAATAATACGTTACATGCATGACGTGGTTGTAGGTACTGGACAGGATCGCCTTAATGGGTGAATTTCGGAATCGGCTAAAATGTAAATCCCGTCATCAAGTAAATTGACGAAAGAAAAAAAAAAAAAGAAAAAAAATTGACACATTATGGGATATTGATATCCAACACCAGTAAAATATTACAATTACGATTAATCGGTGCCAAAGTAAAAATATTTCGACTCATTAAATTTGGCCCGTAATGCGTCTACGCGTACGTAACAATGAAATCCAAGCGATTCTGTATCCATACGAACGCACCAGTAAATAATGCATACTCGCGTTAGCACCAACAATTTTTTTTTTTTTTTTTTTTTTTTTTTTTGCCGACAATATACAAGTACAATGGTTTTACTACGAGTAAGCCGCGAGAAATAACAATAATAGTCCATAAACCAATATAACGTGTACAATACGTGGATACTTGGACATATATATATCTGGGACTGGGTAATGGAATAAGAAAAATAGCAACAGCTGCAGAGGTAATAATGAATATAAATTATAACGCCAGTAACGATTTAGTAAAGATTTAGGAGGAAAAAAAAAAAAAAAAAATGGAAAGTAAGGAGCAGAAGAAAGAAGTAAAAGTAGAGGAAGAGGTTAGCTAGCCGGTGCGGTCTCGTTGGCCAGACGCTTGGGGCAGAGCAATACCTCCTTCCAGTAGTGCAGCACGTGCTCGTCGGTGGACGCCGGTTTGGCGAGGTGCTCGTCGAGCCACTTTTCAATGGCCGGCAGGTTGTTCTCGCTCCAGCGCGTCTCCTGCTTGATCTTCTCGAGGGCCTCGGGCACGAAACCCTCGGCACCCTCGAACTCGTTCTTACGTGACTCGTGGAGCTTGGAGACGAGGTCGTAGCCCTCCTGGCTGTTGAACGAGCCGGTCGCCGACTGCACGAGACTCGTCCAGAGGCTCTTCTTACCGTCGAGCCGCTCCTTGGCCACGTCCCACTTGTCACGCAGGAAATTGAACAGCGACCGGTAGCCGTTCGCGTTGCTCGCCAACATCGAGAATATCAGGTGGATGTCCGCGTCGCTGAAGTTCCCGTTACGCTCGACTATCGCCACCTCCAGTAACCTGCGAGGATTACGGTCAACCGATACACGTTTGGATGGAATGACGTTGATGCGTATACCTTTCGACCTTGACGGGGTCCCTCGGACAGCTGGCCAGGGTCTTGAGGAGGTACGTCCTCTCGCTCTGCTTCCTCTCGGGACTGTTGCGCGGGAAATTGATGACACGCTGCAGCCCAAAGTTCCACTCGTCGACGCTGCCCCACTTGAACACCGGACAGATGAACTCGTTGGCCACGCTGTTGTCAACGATAAATATATATATACATATACACGTGTGTGGGTCATGGTGTGGGTATATTTATGGGTGTAATTTACGGGTTGCCCTTGTCGGGTTCCTTGTCGGTCATCCATTTCTTGAACTGCTCGCGAGCCTCGGCTATGCACGGCTCGTAGCCGGCCCGGCAGAGGAAGTAGCGGGCCAGGCCTCGCAGGTGCGTCTTCCAGGACGGCTCGACCGCCCGGGTGCTCTCGCACGGCTCCGTATACATCGGCTCGAGGAGCGAGCGCGCGTATGCCTACGATACGCAATCACTGACACGGTCACGCGCGTTTATATTTATTATATATATATAGGTGTACGGTTGATGGCACACTCGCCTGGAATTTCGTGTAGACTTGGGTGCCCTCGATGCGACCGCCCACGTGGTCGATCATCGTGAAGAAGGGCTCCCAGACCACGTGGCTCTTCTCGTGTTTGAGGAACAGGGTCATGTTGAGGGCCACCTTGAAGTAAAGCTCGTCGGCGTACGCGAGATTCCAGGCGTCGTGCAGTAGTTTGGCTCGGGTGAGGGTCGGTATGCTCTCGAAGTTGGGGCCGCGCAGGTAGTCGACGAGCAGCTGCCAATTCCTCGCGTCGTAGTTCACCGGGAACAGGCCTGTTTGTTTGCTTTAATATGTAGTTTTTTGTTTTTTTTTTTTTTCTCGTACGCGCCTCGTTAATGCAATAGGCATAGGTACAACTTACCGATTTCTTCCGGATTAATGACGACAAAGTTGTTTTTGTCGGCAATGTCGGGGATGGTGAGGTTCTGCTTGTCCTTGCTCTCGAGCAGCCACGCCTTGGGCGCGTAATCGCTACTGTTCCATTTTTGCTGGGACTGCATCACCAGAGGTATGTTCCACCGATAAACGTTCTCCCAGTTGATCTTTGACACACGGTTCTCTCGCACGTACGTTTTCTAAACAACCAGTTATTAAGGATCTCTTAAACTATCGTCACTTTGGGGGGGTTGCAGCCATATCCATACATTAAAAATCCACGATTTCAACGTAAAAAATGTTCGAACATGGGGAAAAAATGGGAGATGGTGGTTTATACCATGGGCACCGCTTGGGGAACAAAAGCCCAACAATGGCACACCAGCCCAGGGTAAGCTACAAATGTGTGATGCGTGTACCTGGCTGAAGGTGATGGTAGCGTTGTCGTAGTTACGGCTGACGGTGACGAGGGGCAGGCGCTCCTGGTCGATCCAAGTGTCGGCCACCTTGTTGATGGTCAGGCCGGGGGGTAGGGCCTTGCTCTTGTTGGCGACGAAGCTCAAGCTGTCGTAGATGTCGCTCTGCGTGAAGGACCTCGGGTAGCGGCTCTCGCTTTTCAACTGGTTGGGACTGTTGACTCGTTCAATTCGATCAATCGCAATATACACACGTACAACGTGCTTACAAGAGCGATGCTTATTGCGAAAAATTGCCAAAGTCGGCAAGTGTACGTGATGTCATCGCGCGTCTCGACGTTTCCTCTTAAATTCATCCGCGGAGCAACAGCTCGCCGCATCACGGGAAGCCAACGCCGACAATTGGCGCATTTGTTGCACCGATCCCTGCCTCGATTTATCAACTCTCCGTGACGCGGGCTGTATATGCTAACGTCGTTACGACGCGCGAATAGTCAGACGCGGCTATTTTTACGCGAATCTCCATCACGTACGGTACGCCGTTGCGTCACATACGCGTACGGAGCAAAAGTTTTTTTTTTCTTTTTTTTTTCTTTTCGAAAGTTAAAACGAAAAAAAAAAAAAAAAATAGCCAAGGCAGCAATTACCTGGCCGTGGCTTGGCTCTGGATCAGATGCCGCATGCTGGCCTTGAAGTTTTCCTTACCAAGGATGTAGTAGAACATACGGAAGACCAATTCAACTGCAAAAGTAAAGCAAGCTTACGCTGTAACACCTGCACTGTAACAGTAGCAAGTCGTATCTCTTCTTCTTCTGTTTTTTTTTTTTTTTTTTTTTTTTTTTTTTTTTTTTTTTTTTTTTTTTTTTTTTTTTTCAAACGTGATCCAACATTCACGAGAGTTTGACGAATCGATGGCCAATGTTGACGGAGAGGTCGGCTCTTTTAATTTTCCACGCGCGTGTAAATCATGAAACGCAATTCGAGAAGAAGAAGGAAACAAAAGCTTGTTGATAGTACGAGAACAACGCAAAAGCTGTGGATTTGCAAGGTGAAATCCAAGTGACTCACTTTTGGAGAACTTTGCGTCGCGTATGATGCCGGTGCCACGGTTCGCCCCGTAGAACTTGCCGTAGCCGTAGTATAGCGAGTAAAGGATGTTCATGGGCCACTTGCCCTTCAGCTCCTCCGGGTTGATCTGCGACAAACAACGATCAAGTCCCAAACAAAGTTTTTCTTTGGACTTATAAACAGCGGCTCGCCGTCCCGCGTAATGCGTGCTTTTCAACGCGCCCTTTGACCCGCAAACGCAACATTAAACGCAATCTCGTCCATTTGAACATATGTTACACATGTATTCGGTGCTCTAGTAAAATAGAGCATATTGTAATAATGACACACCTTGGAATCGAGACCAATGAAGCCGCAAAACTATTTACAAGGGCAATTTGTATCAGTATGCAAGTACTATAACTGTACTCACGTCGAGGGTCGTCATCGAGGCCAAAAAGGAGTTAAGGCCCTTGTTCTCGGAGGCGTCCATCCACCGGTACGGGGTGATGGACTGTCCGATCCACTGGTACGTCAGCTCGTAGGCCGTGTTCCACACGAGCGGGCTGCTCAGCTCGCTTTCCCTGTGCACACGTTGCGTACATGATACATGTGTATACACGCGTAGATATTATACAAGATACAAGTAGTAACAGCCGCGTACGCTCAGACAAGCGTATAACTCGTATTACTATACTTATCCTTCATTTATTTTGGTCTGCTCACTTGAACAGCATGAGGCCCCAATTGTCGGAAGCCTTGCTCGCCGTGTACGTGGGTAAGGCGACTACGTCGAGCTTCGGCAGCTCGATCGACCTATTGAAGTAGTCTTGCAGGTAATTGACGACCGTGACTATTTTGTCCGGCACGTTTTTGAGGGCCTCGAGGTACTCTTTGCGGCCCCAGACGCGGATCTGCACTTGTCGGCCGTCAGTCGCCGTTTTGGCCATTTTTGCGGGCGCCACCCTCTCCAGGTCCGAGATAACGAAGGCCAATTGGTGGGACGTCATCTCCGGTGTCTCCGCGAAGCTGTCGCGCACCAAATCGGGACTATCGGGCCTGTGGGAACGAGTAATTTTTTTCGTTTTTCTTTTTTTTTTTTTTTTTTAAGAAATCGTCAGCCAAAGCACCGATGCACAACTCACACGTCCTTGCTGGTCTCGAGCGGCGTGTTGGCGAGGGCCGTCATGTTCCTGGGCCGTACGAGCGACAGCCGAAACTTGGTCTTGTACTGGAGCTCGTCGTAGCCCGGGAAGAGCCTGCGAGCGTTGTTCAGGCGCAGGTAGGTGGCCAGGTAGGTGCTGCACTGACGGACAGGTCTTGCATTGGTATACATGGGCCTTGTTTTTTCATATATCCCCGCATTACATGGTAAGCCGTCACTTACTGTTTCTGTCCGGTCGCGTCGACGTAGTGGTGGGCAAACAGGCCCGAGGTGTCGTTGCTCGTGACGTTGCCCGCGTACCTTATGGACACCTCGCACGTCGTGCCCCGCTTGATCCGCTTCTCCAGGTGGATGAGCAGCTTGCGCGCCGTCCGCTCGACCGAACCGACCTTCACCGGTCCCGGTTTTTCGTCCTCTTCGCTCCTGTGAACAGGTTTTGGGTCATTTTTCGGGGGCTCGTGCTCGATGGCGCGTAATTACACAACTGGACTCACGAGTCCTCGGGGTCCCTATCCCGGTGTGTCCTCGTCACGGTGACGTCCGAGTCGACGACGGCGAGGTCCGGGTGGGCGTGGAGGACGATCTTGTCGGCGCTCCCCGTCGAGTAGATCGTCACCTTGACGTGACCCCGGAACTTACCCTCGGCCAGCCGGGGCTCGATCTCGAGGTCGTAGCTCCGGGGCCGCATGTCGTCGCAGATGCACGCCGACTCGAGCTTGTGCTGCTCGTTCAGGTCGACGCTCCGCTCTCGCCTCACCTAAGCACGAGCTCTCGCGGTTCAAAGCGCCCAAAAATACAACCATGCGTTACTTTACCTGGGCCATGGCGAGGGCTATCAGGATCGCGGGGATCCCCAATCTTAAGGCGGATCGCCTCATCCTGCTCGATGATGCTTTGTTAGTCGAGTATCCAATTGAAGACGGAAGCGTCGCTTCGGCGATTTCCTGAAAAACGACAATAGAGGGAAAACCCGAAAATAACAAATGGCTTGATCCTTTTGTTTTATTTTATTTTGAGAAAAGGTTTTTTAAGAACTTGGAAACCCGCCCACTCACCCCCTCCCCTAGGGTGGTACATTGAGAAAAAAAAAAAGAAAGAAAAGGAGAAAGTGGCAAAACAGTGGGGGTGAGACAAGCGTAGGTACCGAACGAAATAAATAAAAGGAAGAAAGCTCGGTGATACCGATGCTCGATCCTTCGCGACGTGGCGTCCACTGTTGGGACACGCGCGTAACGGGACCCCTTCGGTGCTTGCGCGCGCGTGTGTTCACCGGAGGGGAGGTCGAGCAGAAGAGGAAGGAAAAAAAGAAAAAAAAATTTAAAAAGACACCTCGACGTTTAGCGGCTCCATCAGCGTCAATTGAGCGTTAGAGGGAGAAGGCTCGCATAGGTATACGTACACACGGGGGATTACGGCTACCAACGATCTAGGTCCAGAGCTAGTTATCCAATTGTGGTGGATAAAAGGGCCGGGCGACGCTTCTTGCGCCCGTATGCAGATAACCGGATGCCCGGGATTAAACATGTATGTACTTTGGTGTACACACACTTGTACATTATATCGTGACGTCGGTCCATCATTGCCGAGAGGGACGCAACACTCGTACGATCATCATATCTGTACTGGACAAGTGTATATGTATATATATATATACATTAAATGCCTAGATGTGTCTCTCGGGTGTTTGACGCGAATGGGGCTCTAAGTGTGCTCACGTGGCTCACGTGTCTGGCCTATACGGGCGACGGGTGGACTTTTGTACATCAATCCGTGCTCGTTTGACTACGCTCCGTCGCTAATATACGCGTATATGTACGAGAGTGACACTTGCTGTGATAAAAATGTTGTCTATACTCGTCCCTTGCGAAAACGACACATTTGTTGGGGGCGCACACGATGAATCGATTACCGTGCACACTCGTCGTGGTGAAATGCCCGTCCGACCAATGCCATTGTACACCGATTGGCTGAAAAATCCCGCTACAAATCACGGATCTCCGATGAGCTTGCAACGATTTTGTTGTTACACGCGTGATAGCTCAATCGCGACGATCGGCAGTGTCACGGAAAATCAGGGTACAACTTGCAATGGCGATGAAAATTTATTTTATACAAAATGTACGTGTGTTGAAAGAGGAGAGAGAAAAAAACTTTCGTTCGGCCAAGATACAAAATTACTCATGTACGCAACGGCACTTTGTCGCTTTGAACAAAGATCGGAGGGGCTGCTTTTCAACGCGTCTACGCCGATTACCCGACAACTTACCTAATAATTATAAAGTGGCCCCGTCAATTGACTCGGTGTAAATAACCATGCATATATTGTGTATGTACGGCCTATACGGAATAGTAACACATAACGTTACGTGCACGCGCAGTATAAGGAGAATAAATTTATAATTGGCGTGTACAAGTTCTACGTTGTATTTTTGCACTCTGTGCGGCGTGGAAGCACGCGTGGACCGAACCAATTTTTTTTTTTCATCACGATTCAAGTGTAATCGTATAAGCTTAAAACTTATACGGTAAGTGCTCTCTAGAAAGAGTTATATACACAGGTGGGTACAACCAACGATCGTTCGATCGCGCAATAAAATTAATCTGAATTTAAAAAATCTTTTTTTTTTTCTTTTCCAAAACACCAATGCACCGAGCCCCCCCTCCTTTTGTTAGCGGATGTATATGGATATAATATACGTGTACAGCTGCAGCAACGTATCCCGAATCGGTCATTTTCATAACAAGAGGGTATATTACCAGCGGGTTCCCGTACATAACACATGCTTTTCGACGACTTCCTGCTTCTACTGCGAGAGCTTATAGGTACGTATATATAACTATATTGAATGAGCGTGGAAAACTCATTGAGGATACACACATACCCATTCTGTAGCGCGTAATGTGTTTATACGTATATGATATATTATATATTCACGGCTGTGTACGGAAAAAAAAAAAAAAAAGTTTAATTAATAATATAATGTACGATTGTCGATTAGCTCGTGAAAACAGTAAGCAGCCATGCTCCGAAAAATGACGTTTCTTTTGACAATAATTTTCAGGTCGTTTTACCCATGTAGTAAGTATATATACAGTAACCGAAGAAACATAAAACACCGTACCGCGTGAATCATTGTACACCAAGACTTTTTTTTTTTTTTTTTTTTAATGACCGCTCGGTACACGTATGCAGACCCAAGCGCGCGACACTAGCCATAAACCCGTACATTATAGGTACACGCGTGTTTTATCGCGCAATCGACTTATCTGGGTTGCGGGAGAGCAAAAACGATCGCTCATTGACGTGTGTGCCTTTGTTTTTTCCTTCGCGTAACGCGATACACCAATCTACACCCATATATAAGCTCGATAAACGCGAAAAACGCCAAAATTTGTAAACTCCCGAAGCGAACGATTGCGCGAAAAAAAAATAAATGGCACGTTTGGCGCGCGACGATGCTATATACAATATATAGGGACAAAAGAGGCGCGCGGTGCAATACGTGCCGTGTAGCCTCCTTTGGAAGACGGCTCGCGTGACCGGCACCGCGTGCTCCTCATGCATGCACGTAATCGCGCAAAAGAAGAAGAAGAAGAAGAAGTCGGCACTCGCGGTACCCTTAATCGAGAGGAAAACAGCGCGCGGCCGTGCGCGATGAATGAGGAGGAGGAGGAGGAGGAAAGAGCCGCAGAAGCGGAAAATACAAAAGGTGTGTAGGTGGGTGTAAGCAAGTGGGGGAGGGGGGGGGAGGCTACGGTCGTTCAGACGTACGGGCATGTATCCTCCGCAGGTGAAATAGTCGGCCGCCACCTGTAATCGCGCTCTCGACCTGCGTATCTCGCTCACTGTACAACTGGTGCAGCGTTTCGCATCGCGTGCCGTTGTTCGTTGCATTGATAATCATGCAGTTGGTGTGACGAGTAGCGGCCAGCGCGTGTGTGCGCAGGTATATACGTGCACTTCTCGAGGGGATAGTTCGCGGGTGGGGCTCGGGGTAACGTACCGCGAGAGCAGCGCGTGTGTTTTTTTTTTTTTTTTTTTAAAACTCGCGTGATCGGGTGGGCCTGTATATACCGATATCCCGGTCGAGCAGCTCGAGAGGAGTCGGAGAGGGCTGGAGATCCCGGCCCCAGGATGAGGAGAGGCAGCGTAACCACCTACGCGGACGACAGCAGGCGGACGTGTGAGTCTTTTCAGATCCGACCCACCCTCCGGCACCTTTTTTAATCCCCCCCCCCCTCTCGCTATCTCCTTTTTTCATCCTCATCGGCGCTCGTCGTGATTTGTAGCTTGAGAGGTGTCGTTTCAAGGGTGCGTCGACGCGTCGCGGTTTTCTCGATGGAGAGATCGCACGAACGAGCAATTAACGCGTCGAAGCGCGTGGAAATAAATTCTCGTTTTCCTTTTTTTTTTTTTTTTCTCCATACCGTGGCTTCCTCATCCCATCGCTATGTGTGTAACGGGGGGGTCACGCCAGAAAGAGACGAATGTAAAAGTGCTCCCCAACCTTTTTTTTTTTTTTTTTTTTTTTTTTCGCACCAACGTGTCGCGAGATAAGGTTTGTTTAACATTTTTTCTTTTTTTTGTTCATTCTCTTATTTTTAGCCGATCGCGCGTGCCTGTATTTAATTACTCGCGCGTGAGAGAGAGAGAGAGATGAGGTACATTACGAAACGCACGCAGCCGCGCAAACATTTGCTCTCTGCTCCCGAGGCACGCACTCGAGCACCTGTGTTTACAGATCCGCGTGTGTCTATGATATACGTGTACATATATATTTTTTTTTTTTCTTTCTCTCCCCAACGTTTTGGATAGGTGTAATTAAAAGTACCAAGAGTTGATTCGTTTGCGAAAAAAAAGTGTACACCTGGTCTGGTAAGTTTTTTTTATCGAACAATGGCATCAAAACACTTGTTCGCCTACTTACCGTTTATAACCACTGGAATTCCCGACAGTAAAAAAAAATTACTCGGTGACATTAGGTACAGTCGATTGGCTAAAGGTATATATACGTTGTTTTTTTTTTTTTTTTCATCTTTACACGCTCGTCGCATCTGCTGTTTTTCTTATTACCACCGAGAGCGAAGGTGTGCTTTATAATAGAGCGAGTGGCGTGTAATAGGCGTAGAGCTTACGAGGAGGAGGCCTTCGAGTCCCGAATGCTATTACCGAAACTGTCATTACATTTTACAACTTACGGCCACTGCCGCTGCTGCCGAGCTTATACATTACGTTATGACAACGTCGGAAGCGCTTATTTGTCCTCCTCTTCTCCTCCTCTTTATCATCTCGACAATAACGGCTCGGGATACGGAATAACGAATACACACGTGAACGTTTACGTGTATAATATGACAAAGTACCTATATACTGCATGGACGTGTCACCGTAAGAGCGTCTCGTCTCTTAAATCACCCGACAAGTGGTTTGAAAAACAAAAACAAAAAAATAAAAGTTTTTTTTTTCTCACTTTATTTCCAAGCGTGTGGGTATATATACCTATACCCTTGTTTGGATATTAATATTTAAATGTCGAGTAAAATGAAAAAAAAAAAAAAATACATCATGGTCATCCTAAAAAGCTGGTGGGACGCAATTTTAGCGAGCGCCGATGACCATATTGAAAGCTCCCACGACGCGCTTGAATACGTTCGATGTGCGATATCTGCCCCAGAGATGGAAAAAGCTACAGCGAACGAAATTAATTTTACAGCAAAATGCAGTCACATCAGCATCTCAGGGTAACGACCACAAAAGGGTTTTTACGATTCGCCGCCCAATGCCATACGAATACAAAAATAAGACTGCAATGATTTATTATTTTATCATAAAACCACGCACACGGCTTCTACACGGGAAGGGATGATGATGAAAAAAAAAAAAAAAAAAAAATAGTACCACTCACTGCAGCGACTAACAAACGAATGAACGATCGTGCATTTATGCGCGAGCGGTGCTGCAGGTGGTCGTTTACTCGCTCATCGAGCGTATATTATAGACGGGTACGTATAAGTGTTACCCATACGCTCGAGCTCTCCGGTATAATGCCCAATCGTTCCGATAATTAATCACCTCCTGGTTACGGTCAGGTTGCGCGTGCACATTATATGCACAACTATATACTGCCCGTGTCTCACATCGAGCCTTCTAATCGTGTACAATAAGCGATGATGAGCACCTTCGTTTGCTCTCTCTCTCTCTCCTTATCATGTTACCCGATACATTATTAGGCACGTTATAAATTTGGCTCGATTTGTTTGGCCTATATATAGTATACACAAGGTACGACGACTGTATAGCTCCAGTCTTGGCGTTAATACCCAATCCGACGGAACCGAGAATTTTTTTTTCATTCTCGCGTTTGCTTTGTCACCGAATCGCGGGCATGTACCGAGAGTTTAGCCACTCATGGCTGCGCTCTATCGCAATGAGCTGTGAAACACGTATAGGTACGACAAAAGAGAGAAAAAAGCACCCAAGTGCATGCGTCAAGTTTAAAATGGAAATTTCGCGATTGACCGTTACGCGCGTGTATGGTTCATATTACGCGCGAGGACATTACGTATACTTATTACCTGCCGGGCACCGAGTATTACTAGTTCGATGCGGCGTGTACCTCCCTGACGATGTATATGTATACACATCCACGCGGGTATATACTATATCTATATAATCGAATCGTGTTTGTTCGAAAGCACAATTGGACGACGGTAGATCCAAAGATCAGACAAACGATGTATTGCTCCAAAAAGTAAGAATTAATATCGAAAAAAAAAAAGGATAAACTCCACTCGAACACGTAAAGAAGTTGCACGCGCGTGCGGTACACATTATAACGATGCATCCAACTATATACATGCACCGTTAAGCAGATATATATACATACGTGGACAGGAGGTCGGCTATCGTCAACGACCTTGTCTCCGTGCACGCGTGGTTGTTACGGTCACATGCAAGCGCTCCCGCTTCCGGAGCTCGATGCTGGGATGTTCACGTGCGCGCACGTATACGTGTGGGTACCTATTTACGCGATGAGAGATCGGGGCGATCGCTGAATGAACAGACCAGTTTTCCCGCCGATGCCCGCTGTTTATGGCTCACAGATCGGCTTTTGTATAAATAGGATCCTTTTTTTTCTATTTTTTCTTTTTTTTTTTTTTTTCCATTGTGCAACACATCGACGCTTCGCGCGCTTCTATACGAGACATTAGCTCGGGAAGTGCAAACCACTCGTGTAGGCGCAGTACGTATACAGGTCCCGTCGCATCCCCCCGCTTCTTTCTTTTCTTTTCCTACATGATTCGACAAATATCAAAATAATCGACAAACGCGACCATGGATGCAGCAGCCGTGATGCCCTCGAGGGAGCGGCGCAACCCGAGCAACGCCCGGCACGAGTTCAGCCTCCAGGAGGAGGAGTACGAGAGCCCAAAGGGCATGTTCATCTCGTACCGCAGTATCGCCTTCGTGTTCGTCTTCTTCCTGGCCATCCTCATCGTCGCGGCCTTTGCCGGCTACTACGTCGTCTCACCGCCCGAGGACGAGGTCAGCTCTCTCTCTCTCTCCCCTTAATATTCCACCACATACCGATATATCTCCCAACGTCAGCATGTGTATACGTGCCCCTCAAGGTGCCGGACGGCCTGGCGATACTGGCCCACGAGGACGAGGGCGGTGACGAGACGCCCGAGCTCTCGGCCTCGGTCAAGCCGCTGCGCTACAGTGTCGAGCTCGAGTTCACCGTTGCCGATCCCACAGCCGGTGGGAAGGCCCGCGTCCAGCTCAAGGGCCGCGCTGACATTGCCTTCGAACACACGGTCGGCAGCAGTCCCAAGCAGTTGACCGTCAACGCCAGGCACCTGTCGGTCAAGGCCCATCGGTTGCGCGCCGTCTCGCCGGCGAGGCTCGAGCTGGCGACTCGAGCCAACAGGACCGACGAGGCGACCGGTACTTTTGTCATCCTCCTCGAGGACTCGATGGCCGATGGCAACTACTCGCTGGAGATCGAGTACGAGGCGCGGCCGGTGGACGCAGTCGCCTTGTACAACAACACGCGAGCCGGCAGCAAGGAGACGTAAGTTTGCTCCGTTCCTTTACTCGGGTGACGATGGTCCATCTCGGTTTTCATCGGGAGTTGTTTTTTTTTTTTTTTTTTTTTTTTTTTTTTTTTTTTTTTTTTTTTTTTTTTTTTTTTTTTTTTTTTTAGAGTGCTCCTGGTGTCGAGGCTGAAGCCTGCCAGTGCCCCCCGCGTCTTTCCCACGCTGGGCGAGGCCGAGGCGAGGGCCAGCTTTTCCCTGACGCTGCTGCACCCCCGCGATGCCAGGGCCCTTTCAAACTCGCCTCTGCTGGACTCGAGCGAGCTGTAAGTAGCCTTTTTCTATTTTTTCCTTGTAACCTTGATCCCATATAGGGAGTAGTGCATTGGAATAATGCAAAAGGTCCGAGGACGTGGTGATCGAGGAGTTCGGCGAGAGCCCGCGGATGCCGAGCCACGGGCTGGCCTTTGCGATCGGTAGTCTCGAGCATCTCGGGGAGTTGGCCCTCGGCAACGGGAGCAGCGTGGGCCACTGGGGCTGCGGCGACGAGCGCCACGAGTTTTACCTCCAGGACAAGCTGGCCCCGATCGCCGAGGCCTTCTACGAGCTCTTCGGTCACGAGCGGCCGATCGGTAAGCTGGACCTCCTCGCCGCGCCCGTCGACTTTGACGGCTCGTCCGCCCCTGGGCTCATCGTCGTCAAGTAAGTCCTTGCTCCTGTCGATCTCGCGCGACGCGTGTGTGGGTTCGTTGATTATCTTTTTTTTCCTCCCTCCACGCAGGGAGTCGCTCTTTCACACGGGGGTCGGCTCGCCGGTGCTCGCCAAGACCAGGGCGCTGCTCAACCTGATCGGACTAGTCGGCCAGCAGTGGCTCGGCGGCCTCGTCGGCGCTAAAAACTGGACCGACGCTTGGTACCTCGAGGGCTCCGTCCTCTACCTGCAATACGCGCTCGTCGACAAGGCAAGTCGTTTTCAAAAAAAGAAAATGATACAAAATGCGCGCCAAGTTGTTGGTTTTTTTTTTTTCACACTCGTCTGATAGTGCAGATTGACCAGAGCCTCGAGGCGTCGGAGGACTTTTTGGTCGACGTGGAGCTCGAGGCCATGGAAAACGACGGCTACCTCATATCGAAGGCCCTGAGTGCCAAGGTCGAGCACAATCGAGTCGAGGCTTTCGACTTGGACGACAACTACCGCAAAGGTAAGAGAGCGTGTTCCATTGGGCATTATCCGAGGTTTTTTTTTTTTCTTCCAACTTTTGCCCTCCGTGTTTTTCAGGCGCGTGCCTCGTACGCATGGTGCACCAGGTGCTGGGCGAGGACGCCTTTGCCCGGGGATACGCCGATTTCATCGAACGCTGGTCGGTAAAAAGTAACCACGAGCCGCATCCATATCGTATACACCGTTGCTCGAGCGACTCGTAACCAGTAGGTGTGCGTGTGTTGTCGTTGCAGGAGTCACTCGAACGCCGACGCCAACGAGTTTTTGCGCTCGGTCACGGGGAACGCGACGACGGGTGGGGTGGGCGAGTCGCCGAGACTGGACGAGGTCTTTCGCAGCTGGACGCGGCAGCCCGGCTATCCCCTGATCACCGTCAAGTGGGACCGCGACAACGACACCGTCACCATACGCCAGGTACGCCTACATACCACTCTCAAACCAACATTTATCAACCGAAACGACGAACGCAGCAAAGAGTATACGTAGGTATCTGTTGACGAGTCGAGTGATGTTTTTTTTTTTTTTTTTTTTTTCTGGTCATAATGCCTTTTGTCGGTCTCGATCACGGGGGGGCGAGACAAATCGCGGATTGTTTTACGAGGCGTAGAAAGTAGGCTGTCGTTAAAAAATATAGCCGCGCTTGCACCGCATGGCTCGATCGTGTTTATCGTTTTGTTTATTCTCTCCTCGAGACGTAAAAGTATATTTGGATGTTTGGAGTGACGCCTCGCACGATTAATCATCATTGCTATGCAGGAGAAATTCAACTTTGACGAGTACTCGAGCGACGAGGAGGAGCGCCCGGACCGCAGGCTGCGCTGGTGGGTGCCACTGACTTACGTGGACTCGCGAAGAAATAACTGGTCCGAGCCGTCGGTCGTTTGGCTCAAGGGCACCGAGGAGATGGTGCTCGAGAACTTTGGACGGGCCACGGGCCGCGACAACGACTCCTGGGTTGTTTTCAACGTGGACAAGCGCGGTCCGTATTAAATTGACCCATTTTTTTTCCCCCAAAAATATACAAACAGCGCTAGTATAACGTTAATGCTCATGCAGGCTACTATCGCGTCAACTACGACGAGGCGACCTGGCGGGGGATCGGCTCGGCCCTACTGGCCAACCACACGAGCATACCCCCAGGGACGAGGGCAGCTCTAATCGACGACGCCTTGAGCCTCGCGCGCCAGGGCAGCCTCGACTACGGGACGGCTCTCGAGCTACTCGGCTACATCGGCAACGCGGAGCTCGACTACGCCCCTTGGCGCGCTCTCGCACGGCACGCCTCGCAGCTCGACTTTGCCCTCTACGAGACCAACTCCTACCCCGAGTTCCAGGCGAGTAGATACTTTTTTTTTTTTTTTTTTTTTTTTTTTTTCTTTTCTCTCCTCCTCCACCTTTGTTGTGACGGTGTTTGTCCGGATCGCAGGAGTTTATGCGCAACATCGCGTCGCAACTGTTCGACGAGACAAAGGCCAAGCTCGACCAGGGCTCGCCGCTGGCCGTCCTGGCCATACAGCTGGCTTGCTCGTTCGAGAATCAAAAGTGCACCAGCTGGGCGAGGAGCCAGTGGGACAACGTCTTAAGGGACAACGAGTACGCGTGAGTATTCCCCGATGGAGCGTAAAATTGATTTTTATCACCCGTGTATACGTGATGTTGTGGGTGGATTGCAGGTTGGCGAAGCACGTCCGGGAGACGGTGTACTGCGTGGGTGCGCAGCGGGGCGGCAGGGAGGAGTTGTCCCACCTGGTGCAGAAGCACGGGGAGACGAGCGACCGGGACGAGAAGAACCGACTGCTGTCGGCCCTCGGTTGCTTCCAGACTCCCTGGATCCTGCAGAGGTGAGTCCGCGCCCCCATCTTTTGGTCCAACAGTGATGGAATAATGAGTGCCTTTTTCTTATTTAGCACCCTCAACGAGATCCTCGAGTCGGACAAGTTCGACGAGCACGACGTCAGGGTGATACTGAAGTCTTACTCGAAGAACCCGGCGGCTGCCCAGGCAGCTCGTAGATTCGTCCAGGAGAACTGGAAGGAGATCGTGAAAAGGTACCCATACTTTGTATATGGCATATTATGCGCGTTGCGATGCATAATCATATACTCTCTGTTGCAGGTTCTCGCACTCGTACTGGACGATGAAGGCGTTCGTCGAGGCGTCGACGAGCCTACTGTTCACCGAGCACGACCTGAACGAGGTAAAATAAGGGCGCGGCGGTCACGAGTGTGATTTTGTTATTGCGAGTGTCTTGTGTGTCGTAGTTCAATGCCTTCCGGGACAAGAACATCGACAGCCTGAAGGCGATGGGACACTGGGTGGCTTTGAACGAGATGAAGGCCTCCTCGTGGATATTCCGGCTCAAACAGTCCTTCGACAGTCTCCAGAGGTGGTTCAAGAGCCGCTCGAGCGACGACATCTAGAGCTGCCGGGTCAACAGCGTGTACACGTGTAGTGAGCATACGTGTACCAAAATGTGTGTGAGCACACGAGATCATTGGTTTCATTGGTTTATCAATATCGTACAAAATTATTATTTGTAGATAACGAGTTTAACGCGTACCTTGCGAGTGCAAAGTTGGATTTTAAAAAGTTCCTTGAGAAATTCAGCGAAATTTTTCTTTTCTCAAGGATGGGAGGAAAAACAACGTGATGGAAGAGGATCGGAGGAGGTGGGAAAAATAAATAGAGAGTCTCGACGACGGACACGACGTGTTCTACCACAACAATGTTTTATTTCGTCAAATGCTTTTTCTTTCCAAGCATAATTTATTTATATATAATATATTATATATATATATGGACACACGTGT